AGTCTGATATTCTGTATATTTAGGACGGAAGAGTCTAATACTCTGTATATTTAGGACGGAATAGTCTGATATTCTGTATATTTAGGACGGAATAGTTTAATACTCTGTATCTTTAGGACGGAAAAGTCTGACATTCTGTATATTTAGGACGAAATAGTTTTATATTCTGTTTATTTAGGACGGAATAGTCTGATATTCTGTATTTTTAGGACGGAATAGTCTAATACTCTGTATCTTTAGGACGGAATAGTCTGATATTCTGTATATTTAGGACGGAATAGTTTGATATTCTGTTTATTTAGGATGAAATAGTCTGATATTCTGTATCTTTAGGACGGAATAGTCTGATATTCTGTATTTTTAGGACGGAATAGTCTAATAATCTGTATCTTTAGGACGGAATAGTTTGATATTCTGTTTATTTATGACGGAATAGTCTAATGCTCTGCATCTTTAGGACGGAATAGTCTGATATTCTGTTTATTTAGGACGGAATAGTTTGATATTCTGTTTATTTAGGACGGAATAGTCTGATATTCTATATATTTAGGACGGAATAGTCTGATATTCTATTTATTTAGGACGGAATAGTCTAATACTCTGCATCTTTAGGACGGAACAGTCTGACATTCTGTATTTTCAGGACGGTATAGTCTAATATTCTGTATATTTAGGACGGAATAGTTTGATATTCTTTATATTTAGGACGGAATAGTCTAAGACTCTGTATCTTCAGGACGGAATAGTCTGACATTCTGTATTTTTAGGACGGAATAATCTGATATTTTGTATATTTAGGACGGAATAGTCTTAGTAATCTGCGTGTTTCTGTCCCAAGTATTGTCCTAAGAGGAGAGAATACGACATTTAACTGCACCTGGGACACTGATAAGACAGATAAGGTACACAGGGAGCAAAACAATATATGGGAATTTTTTTTTCAAATTTAAATGTTCTTTTGAAAGCATATTAGTTTTCACATAACGTATATCAACACGCTTTTTACGACTATACGGTTATTAAGATCGGCCCGGATTAAAAATGCTTGAAAAAACGTCCACTGATAAGTTGGAAGATTATGCAATTTTACTTTTTACGTAAAATATATGGGACAGTGATAACCAGAAAACTCTGGAATAGTATGGACGACTTTGAGAATCAAGGTTTAACTTTAAAATGTTCAATGAACTTGAAACACAGAAATTGTGCAGTGTGAACAGACTCATTTCACAACATAAGTGATTTTTTAAGTGTCTAGTAAAACTATTCGCCTTGTAACACCATCAAATACACTTAATTATTGCTATAATGTCGTCTTCCCATTTCATTGTTTTCTGGTTATTACTGTAAGTTAATGACATCAACATTACACTGGTTATTAATAATTGATATATATATGTCCGGAATATATTTAATTCTCTAATTTAATGAAGGGAAGGGAATTTCACGCACCCCTGACCCTTTAGTAAAAGTAAATTCAACCTAAAGTCTGACCGCGTCAACCTTGTTGCACCGTCTAGTCAAATTGAGTGTTTGCTTTATTTACCCAATGTCCGGGCGATACAGTACAAACTGGGACCGGAAAGGTTGACCCGGCTCGGAAATTCAAATGTTCTACGGCTGCGGGTGATTGAGACGTAATCTCAAGTGAACCTCAGTCAAAAGAGTGGCATGTCCGATTCACAACTGTACTCTTTAAACCTCATTTCTGATCAAGGATGAAGGAGACTTCCTTATTTATCTAATATCATTTTAAATTGTAAACAACAGTCCCTTTAATTAATTAATTAATTAATTAATTGATTGATTAATTAATTAATTAACTAATTAATTAATTAATTGTTTTCGTTGTTTAGATCTGGGCGGTGAAATGGTACCGTGGAACAATCGAAATATTTAGAAATATTTTCGACGAAATACCTCCGATCAAAACCTTCCCGTTGGATAATTTCCATATCGATGTAAGTATTTGTTAACACGATTTTAGTCATCACTAACTAAAGGGCCCGGCATTGCCCGTGCAAAACAAATATAAAAAAAATTGAAAACAAATTTAGAATTTTTTATATCCTGTAACATTCCCCGGCCACCCCTGAGTGTCCTCAAAAAATTTCAGCCCAATCGGTCCAGCCGTTTGGCCAGCTATAGGCAACATATATATACGAATGTCTTGGTTTTTTATATAGATTTCGCGTTTCTCATTCTACATATCATTGTATTTTTTACCTGAAGTCGGAGCGCTTGTGTTGAGTATATTGTAAATAGTAAATTTACCTGGAGGATAACTTAAAATATAATATTGTAAATAGTAAATTTAATGATCAATGCTTGATTCCTAAATTGAAGTTGTCCCAATCGTATATAGTTGATATTTCTTAATATTTTTTAGTTGTATACACGATGTACTTTAAACAATGATTATTAGGTCTCTGTTTTCAATATTTCAGTAATTTACAATTACAAATTGTATTACGTAGGGTCAGACTCAGAGATTGTGAGTAAAGAAAGAAAAAATAATAAACTGTGAAAACTTGTCTCAGCAAAACGTTTGAAAAGTTTGTGTTAGTATAAAGTTTAGTGTGAGAATGCAGTAGCAAACTTTATCAAAATGTAAATAAGAAAACAGACATTTGGGAAGTTTGGAAGAAAATGGAAAAAACTCTAAATTGGCTGATATGGTGATACAAATATTAAGATAGGACGCTCCATGGACGCTCACAACATACTAAGCTAGCTGGGTCGGTCAAATAGGCTTATGATATCGATGACCCGGGGCCGGTTGTTGCCGCGCATCACTAAGGGGTCGGTCTAGTACGAATTCAAATTAACCCTAGTTCACCGTACGCTGCTGTGGTGCAATCAAACAAGGTTTTTAAAAGACTGTAAAATGTCATTATATCTTGCCCGGGCCACGTGGATTTAACGGTTCTGTCATTATTTTAGAAAGCTGCGACTTTCGATCACAATTTAACCACTTATACATAATTTTTAAACCTTTTTTTTTAAATACTTTTTTGTCGGCATAAACGTTTTGAATGAAAAAGTATTAAATATACAAATCCGTAAGTTTAAAGAGTGTTGAATTATAGACCCAAACACGTTTTATTTCAAATAAAGGAAATCAAATGCTTCTCAATCAGCTCTGGTTAGTTCGGGGAGGGGCAACAATAGCCGTAACTTCAAGGGTACCTTGATTTATAGCGCGATTCACAATGGGTACTCTTTGATGTTTATTCCTGTGTGTATGCGAAAATTGTTGAGTTATTCTTATTTTTCTGGCAAAAATAGAACACCTGAAAACAACTTTTTTGAATCATGGCTTGATTATGATTATAAATACAAACAGAAGTTATTTCATTTTAACTTAGTTAAAGTGAGACAACTTTCTTATACATTTTTGAAACTAAATCACCGCCATTTTGTTTTAAGATTTAAAATGACGTTGTAACGAATAATATTGAAATAATTTGTTACCCGTGATTAAATGAAAAAAGTTTTTTTTCTCTTAAAAAAAAGAAAATTGAGATGAGAAGATCTTGAAAAATATTTTCTACATTTTTTAAATCTTAAAACCTTTAAAGGTTTTGTTTTTCTTTTTTTTTCTTAAAAAATCTAAGATTCTCAGAAACTAATGAATTGCTTCGACACCAGAAAATATCTTTGAAGGAAGTTAAAGGAAGTTAAAGGAAGTTAAGAGAAGTTAAAGGAAGTTAAAGGAAGTTAAGGGAATTTAAAGGAAGTTAAGGGAAGTTAAGGGAAGTTAAGGGAAGTTTAAGGAAGTTAAGGTAAGTTAAAGGAAGTTAAGGGAAGCTAAAGGAAGTTAAGGGAAGTTAAAGGAAGTTAAGGGAAGTTAAAGGAAGTTAAGGGAAGTTAAAGGAAGTTAAGGGAAGTTAAAGGAAGTTAAGGGAAGTTAAAGAAAGTGTTTACAAAACAACAAAGGGGTTTAGTCCCAAAAGTTGAATCACTAGAAAACTAGAAAACTAGAAAACTAATAAACTAGAAAACTAGAAAACTAGAAAACTAGAAAAGTAGAAAAGTAGAAAAGTAGAAAAGTAGAAAAGTAGAAAAGTAGAAAAGTAGAAAAGTAGAAAAGTAGAAAACTAGAAAACTAGAAAACTAGAATACTAGAATACTAGAAAACTAGAAAACTAGAAAACTAGAAAACTAGAATACTAGAATACTAGAAAACTAGAATACTAGAAAAATAGAAAACTAGAAAACTAGAATACTAGAATACTAGAAAACTAGAAAACTAGAATACTAGAATACTAGAATACTAGAATACTAGAATACTAGAAAACTAGAAAACTAGAAAACTAGAAAACTAGAAAACTAGAAAGCTAGAAAACTAGAATACTAGAAAACTAGAAAACTAGAAAACTACGGTGGTTGGCGATATTATCAATATAATGAAGACGACTTTTTTATTTAAGTTTTTATTCTTAACAAGCTTTTTTCGAATTAAAAGTTTACCAGTAATTGACAGTTTCTCTCGGTTTTCAATCTTTTGTGTATCCATGCTTTTTAAAAGCTTAATATAAATCAAAATTAAAATCGAAAGTCGTTTTCAAAAAACTAAGAAAATAGAAAAACTAATTAAACTTTTCTAACCCTGGCTATCTAGATTTCCTAACCCCAGCTATCCAGATTTCCTAACCCCAGCTATCCAGATTTCCTAACCCCAGCTAACCAGATTTCCTAACCCCAGCTATCCAGATTTCCGAAACCCAGTTATCTAGATTTCCTTAGTTTTGCTAACTAGAATTCCTACCCCCGGCTATCTGGATTTCCTAACCCCGGCTGTCTGGATTTCCCAGATATCCAGATTTCCTAACCCCAGCTATCCAGATTTCCTAATCCCAGCTATCCAGATTTCCTAACCCCAGCTATCTAGATTTCCTAAACCTAGCTATCTAGATTTCCGAAACCCAGTTATCTAGATTTCCTTAGTTTTGCTAACTAGAATTCCTACCCCCGGCTATCTGGATTTCCTAACCCCGGCTGTCTGGATTTCCAAACACTGGCTATCTAGAATTCCTAACTCTGGCTATCTAGAATTCCTAACCCCGGTTATCTGGATTTCCTAACATTGGCTATCTAGATTTCCTACCCCCAGCTATCTGGATTTCCTAACCCCAGCTATCTGGATTTCCTATATTGTGTTGCTGGCGGCAAGATGTTTAAAGGATAAGATGAAACAGACTAGGATATTGAGTTCAATATATGCAAGGTTGAGTTTCCTTCATTGCATCCTTTCAGACAACATTAGCCCAAGGGAAACTTACTGTTGCTTTAAGGCAGTGATCCCTTTAAGTAATCCAACTATGCTTGTAAAGCTTTATTGGTGTTATTTTTTATGATTTTCCCAAAGGCATTCCCCCAAGCGGGCGACTTTCCTAATTGGTAACTTTCCAAGCGGCAACTTTTCAAAGCTTTTGTTAGGATTTCTGAGGCGTTGCAGGCTAAAATGGGAGCCAAGTGCACCGGCTAGGGCGCCGAGCGCTGCGGCTAAAACAATCTAGGGCTTATGCGCTGCGGCAAAAACAGGCTAGGGGCCGAGCACTGCGGCTAGAACAGACTTGGGAAGTTACCGCTTGGGAAATTGTAGATTTGGAAAGTTGCCGCCTTGGGAAAACACCCTTGGGAAGTTGCCTCATGGGAAAATACCTTTGGGACATCTGACATTGCTTTATAAAGCACTATAAATAGGGGACTCTATACATGTCCAGGAAATCATAGATAATTGTTTTATGATTTTATAATTTTTTTTCTACGGGATTCTTTTTTATTCTAGATGAAATAGAGATAATAAATTTTGTACTTTAAGAACCCATTGAATCCGGTATTTTTTAGGAATTTATTTCTGATGGAAAAACCTTGCTACTTAGAAATGTTAATTTTCATAATACTGGAGAATACAGCTGTGAGGTAGGTTTAATTAGTGAAATAAAATAAATAAAAATTAATGATTATGTACAAAAATTACTTTTAATCATAATATTGATAATTTTGATTTAAAGTTAATAATTTAGGTTATTGCGGACCAGACGTTTCATACTCTGATAAAGAAGGCACACATGCAAGTTGTAGGTAAGCAAATTAATAACACTTAAAAAAAAACGATTCCTGTTTTCTGAAGAAATCATAGAGATGGGCATCGCCATTTTGAACAAACAAAATTTTTAAGAACGAACAAAATTTTCATGAAAAAGAAAGTCGTTCAGAAAAAAACGAACGAAAAAAATAATCAATAACAAACGATTTAAAATCGTTCGATCAAACTTGAAAAAACTATAGTTTTTTAGTACTCGTACATATTTACCAAAAGATTTGAAAAAAACAATTTTTTTTTTACTGAACGACGATTTTATTGAACGAACGATTTTACTGAACGAACGATAAAAAAACGAACGACATATACGAAAAAGTAACGATAACTTTGAGAGCGAACGAAATAATTTTTTAAAAACAATTTAAAGAAAACAAGGAAATGGGTCGTTGACGAATGATGAACGAACGAAAAGTCTAACGTCCCCAACTCTAATCATATCGTTGTGTTTACAGTTCAATCTTTCGAATATTTGTTAGATTTTTTTAATTAAAAACTTTCTTTATCGGTCTCTCCTATATTTGACGGCATTCGTAATTCCAATCAAATAGTAGATGTAAAGGAAGTACATCCTGTCTGTATTGACATCTGTTCATCTTCATATTTTAATATCTAATATAAGGAAGTACATCCTGTCTGTATTGACATCTGTTCATCTTCATATTTTAATATCTAATATAAGGAAGTACACCCTGTCTGTATTGACATATTTTCATGTTCATATTTTAATATCTAATTTCGAATCTTTATTATCTAACATATATACGCCAACGAAGTATAAAATAGCAAAAACCAAAAATCTTTTAGGAAGAGCTAAACAGTTTTCTCACGGTATAATATATGGAAGAAAGCTTAGTTTAGGATGAACTATCCATTGTTTTAATGTGTATTTCCAAACTCAGAAATTAATATTTTGCTGGAACAAAAAATATTTACTTAACACTAGCAGAGCATCTTTGGTACGGCTTTTTTTTAATTTGTTACTTTTGCCCGGCCTCTGCAAGAAATGTGTACAGTGTCTATATGTACATGTACACTGTCCAGCAAAATACCAAATGCACTGGAATTTAGAATGATTGAAAGAGGTTTTATCCTGTTTTGAATTGATTCAGTTTTTCAACTTGAAAACTTTATTGTTGTAAAAACAGGAGTTTGAATTGCAAAAATTTCAACACAAAAATTCCAATTTTCTGAACTTTAAAACAGTGATAAATGTTTGTTTGGTAAAATATTTGAAGTTCAATGAAAATAAAACAAATTTTAAAATTTCCTAAAACTTCTTCGTAAAATAAAGAATATGAAAACTAGATTGAACATTGTCACCCCAGTCTAAAAGTAGCATGATCCGTGCCGGTACAACACGTACTGTATGTGCAGTCCGTTGTACTGTCCAGTCAGTCTACCCAGTGTAGATTCGACAAGCACGTTTTATGCAACAAATGTCGCCTGGCAAGATCACAGTGTTGTACATTGAAACAATAACTTTTATGTCAGTTATGTAAAATGCAAATATGCAATTAATGCATAATTTTAAAGTTTCTGTCACATTTTTGTTGTAGATTTATTATACACATAATTAGTTTCTTTATTTTTCTGGGTAGAATTAATTTAGGATTAATTATTGTTTAATTACAAGGGAAAGTAAACTCGAAAATTGATTATTTAAGTTAATGATGTTGACTTTACGTAGAATTTTTTTATATCCTTAAAAAGAAGACATATTGTCAAATTTTTCATCCTTATCCTTATTATCAATACTTTAATATAATTTCTTTTTATTATTGTACATTACATGTACATTACTTAATACGTCTACACAATTTATTTTTATTACACAATTTGCTTCACACTGCAGTTATTATATGTTTTATTTCAAATATAAATTTTGTGTTCTTTACTCTTTATATAGTAATGGAACTTCAGCTGTAATTTTCTAATTTTGATATCTTTGCAACCTGATGTTGTAAGCATTATATATTTAAAACCATGAATACTGCTAGATCAGTTAAAGTTCAGAATATTAAAGGTATTCATCATCAGGCTGCAATGATATTATAATCAGAAAATTTGCTGTGAAATGATATTAACATTTTTTTTGCTACAATTTTTTCATGTTTTAATGTTTATTTTATTTTTTAACATATATTTTTTTAATTTAAATTTTAGCAAAATTCTATAAATTAGCTGCACTGCCACTGCGGTTTCAGTAGAAGTAAATATTTCTATTTACTGCTATAGCGCCGATATAAATATTTATCTCTAATTGGATAAAGAGCTAGATAGAAAGATAGATGTTACCGCCATGCAATTTCTATTGGTTCAGAATAGACACCAAACACATGACTGAACCCTGATTGGATCAGGCGTTAACCTTATTCCTGCTGTAACCCCCCCTGTAGTTTTTTTACATAACTCAAAAAGTATTGGTCTGAGGCTGTTGAAATTTTCTGACTTTTCTTACATACCCAAAGCCCTCCCTTTAGGCCTAAAACCAGGCTTTAATACTGCCTGAATGACTGCTTTTTCCTGTAACAAACTAAATCTTTGTTTTGACCCATTTCCACTTGTCAGATTTTGATAAAATTTAGCTTTTTGGAAAGCCTTTTTGCAAACAACCTGTCAAAGGAAATTTGCACATTTTTGGTTTTTCTTGATTAAAAATCAGGTTATTTAAAATTTTGCAATTTTGAAATGGCATGGTCAAGGGCTTTTCAAAAATGTATAATTTTTCATTTTTTGGACAAATTTTTTTTGCAAACATTTTTACTATATAACTGGATTTTGCGATAAAAAATTCAATTTTTGCAAATTTGCAGATTCTAAAAGTAGAGCACAAGAGCTTTCCAATGATGTATCATTTGTCATATTTGGACATCAAACATGGGATTTAGAGGGGGGAGGGGTCAAATTGACCCCCCCAGCATATCCTGGTGTTCAAGTACCCAAGCATGCAGAGATAGGGTTAATGGACTCGGCAAACTAGAGTGCTGCAAGTATTTTGACAAATTTCTGTTTTCTAAATTTCCTTCTTCTTGTTGTTCTTTCATCATCCATCATGTTCGTGCATCATCCATCATGTTCGTGCATCATCCATCATGTTCGTGCATCATTCATCATGTTCGTGCATCATCCATCATGTTCGTGCATCATCGTGCATCATCCATCATGTTCGTGCATCATCCATCATGTTCGTGCATCATCCATCATGTTCGTGCATCATCCATCATGTTCGTGCATCATCCATCATGTTCGGCTAATTTTGAAAAAGAAAAGAACATTTTTTTCATGACTTCCTTACAATTACTGCCGATGTTTATTTAATAATTTTATATTTTTTTAATCTTTTTGTTTAGATTTGCCCGATGATAAGCCTCGTATATCTGGGATTAAGGATAAGTATCAGATCGGTGAAACTATTGAAGCAATGTGTACATCCTGGCATTCTCATCCACCAGCAAACCTTTCCTGGTTTATCAATGAGGAACCGGTGAGAACAAATATTATTTAAAGGGAATGTAAGCGTAATTATCTTCCATTTAAAGAGAGATGTCGTCGATTCACAACGGTAAATATTATCGAGGAGGGAGAACTCAGTGTATATATCTCTTAAATGCGGCGAAAAAACCCTCAAAATAAGAGTGTATGCTAGCGTACTGTGTGAAACCAACGCGGATGATGTCACGTACTGCCAAAACTAGAATATTCTATATCCAACGCGGTTCTCAAAGATATTAATGCGAATAACTCTATATTCTACATTTCCAAGAAAGTAACTATTAATATTCCTTACATATAAAACAGTTTACAAGCAAATTGTTCGAACATTACAAGCGTTTATATATATAAATTAGGAAATATCTGTCATCCTTGATCAGTCCAAGGTTTAAAGGGTACCGTTGTGAATCCTTTATCAGTCCAGGGTTTAAAGGGTACCGTTGTGAATTCTTGATCGGTCTAAGGTTTAAAGGGTCCCGTTGTGAATCCTTCATCAGTCCAAGGTTTAAAGGGTATCGTTGTGAATCGGGTATTCCCCTCTTTAAATAGAAGGTCACAATAATAATTACGCTTACAGTCCCTTTAAACTACAAGAAAATGATCTTAATTACTTTTAACATGAAGATGGCAACATAACTAAACAACTTCTCTATTTACATACAGTTTTTATATAAAAGTGGACTTTTTTATTATGCTTAAGATAGTTCTATTTACATACAGTTTTTATATATAAGTGGATTTTTTTATCATGCATTAAGATAGTTCTATTTACATACAGTTTTTATATAAAAGTGGATTTTTTTATCATGCATTAAGATAGTTCTATTTACATACAGTTTTTATATAAAAGTGGATTTTTTTATTATGCATTAAGATAGTTCTATTTACATACAGTTTTTACATGAAAGTGGATTTTTGTATTATGCATTAAGATAGTTCTATTTACATACAGTTTTTATATAAAAGTGGATTTTTTTATTATGCATTAAGATAGTTCTATTTACATACAGTTTTTACATGAAAGTGGATTTTTGTATTATGCATTAAGATAGTTCTATTTACATACAGATTTTATATAAAAGTGGATTTTTTTATCATGCATTAAGATATTGCTATTTACATACAATTTTTTTTAAAATGATTTTTTATTAACATGCACAAAGATATCCTTATTTTCATACAGTTTCTTTTATAAAAAATGGTTTAATATTATCATGCATAAAGATATCGCTATTTACATACAGTTTTTTTATATAAAAATGGTTTTATATTATCATGCATAAAGATATCGATATTACATACAGTTTTTTTTATAAAAAATGATTTTTATTATCGTGCACAAAGATATCGCTATTTACATACAGTTTTTTTTTTAAAAAATGATTTTTTATTATCATGCATAAAAATATCGCTATTTACATACATTTTTTTATATGAAAAATGAATTTTATTATCATGCACAAAGCTATCACTTTTTTCATACAGTTTTTTTTTATAAAAAATGGTTTTATATTATCATGCATAAAGATATCGCTATTTACATACAGTTTTTTCTTATAAAAAAATGATTTTTTATTGTCATGCATAAAGATATCGCTATTTACATACATTTTTTTTATAAAAAATGATTTTTATTATCATGCACAAAGATATAGCTAGTTACATACAGTTTTTTTGTAAACATAAACCTTGAATGAGTCTGAAAGTTAAATTAGGAATGAAGAAGGCGAGAAGAAAAATTCAATTATATTTGTTTGAAAGTTAGTTATAACCGTCATTGCACAGAGAAGAGTACAAAGTGGTAGTGCGAGGCTTGACATGAAAACTAATTAAAGTAAAGAAGTTTATAAAACATGAAAATGGTTTAGAAAATCTCACTTTGTGACAGTACAAGCGAGAAATTAGAAACAGGTCCTGCAGGCGCTGTAGCATAAGGTGGTCCAACAATTTTTTATATACATTTTGCTTGTTTGCTTGTTTTCAATAACCGTCAAAACGGTTGAACCGCTCGCAAGGGCGTATACAGAAATAAATCTAGGGGGGGGCAAGATTTGCGCGAAGCGCAAATTTTTTTTTGCCCCCCCCCTAGGAGCTCCTAGGGGGGGCAAAATTCGAACTGTAAATTCATAACACTTGGCTTCTTGGATATCAGGCATAAGTATAAGATACTTAAAAGGCACACATACAGTCCAAATAATTACCTTCTAAGCACTCCTTCAAACAAAACTAGCAGAAAAAAACATTGTTTCTAAAAAATCGTCATTTTATTATACTTTTATAGGTATATTTAGTATTTAAACTAGAGATAGTAAAAGACATTTTTGAAAATAAAAACTTAACTTAAACTTAAATTCTATGAGATGAAAAGAAGTACAAAGGTCCAGAAAATAATTATGACTTGTAAAAGTTTCTGTTGTGAAAAAAAGTAGGAGTAGGAGTAGGCTTATAAATAACAGTATTTGATTCATGATAATTATTAATCAGCAATTCACAGATACCAGTCACAACGGCAACTTTTAACAGACTCACATCACTACTAAACAAGACTAGCATATAATGTAAAGTGTGTGAGCTGTACAAATGTATGCAGACTGTGTGTTCTCTGAACCCAACTAAACTCTGTGTACTCTGTGAACTTAAAAGTTAAAATTAGGTTAGGTTGGTTAGGTTAACTTGGTTACAGCATGAGCACTGCACTGTAATTATATATATTTTAAAATTTTGATTTTTTATAATAATCATGAAAAGCAAACTTATTTTTTTTGTGTTCTTCACTCTTCAGTTAAGATTTGAAAAGTGTGAAAGGCTTGCAGAATTCTAGGGGGGGCTATGCCCCCCCCCCTGTATACGCCCTTGACCGCTCGGGCCCAAACTTGTTGTGGAAACTTCGATTAAAGATAAAAATGTCCGGATAACATTTTGATTTTTTTTTAAATTGCGTCAACTAGAAGAGAAAAGTCAGCATAAAAAGTTGCAGCTCACACACCAACAGTTAACAGATGAAATTCTCAATAGAAAGGGTAGGAGAAGAAGCGCCCTATTACGCATAGAGACACTCAAAATTTGTCAATTACAACATACATCCTTTTTACTTTCCATATTCGGGCTTAAAAATAAAAAGTTTACAAAAACATTTCTAAATTTGATTTCATAACCATGTAAAATTAGTAATGAATTAAAATAACAAATGCGATCAGTGACCTCAGAAAGGTCAACTGAGCCTGAATAAAAGTTGTAAAAAAAGTGTATTCTTGTTTCTGAAATGTGTTTTTTATATTTGGACTTGCCAGTTACTTTGCAGAATGTAGGATGGAAAAACGAGGTGGATAGTCTTTTATTTTATTAGACTCCCTTTACTCTTTCTACAATTTTAAAATTAAAGTTTTAAATTTCTGAATTTTTAGAAAGAGTTAGAACAACAGTTCTGAAAAGCAATTATTGCATAAGTATTATTTATCAAAATGAAAACAGAAAACAAGCCGAGAATGAATTAATCAGAAACCTAAACTTTCAGACTCAAAACTTTGAATCTATTATTTGCATATTTAAATGCAGGAAATCTGTGGCTTCAAGGGATTTTTTTACTTATTTAAAGATAAACATAATTTCAACATTTCTTCATTAGTTTTACTTGTAAATTTTATAAATTTTTGTATAAATAAAAGGAATTGAGTCTTTGTAACAAACTCTGATGATTTTCTAATACCTGTATCTTTGCAACCTGATGTCGAAGACCATAGATATTTTGAACTATGCATTCTATTAGATCAAATAATCTTACTTTGAAATATCATAGGTCAACACCATCAAGTTGCAAAAATAAAGGAATTAAAAAATTTGAGTTTGTGTCAAAGACTTAATTCATTTTATAAATTTTTATATAAAATTAGCGATGAAATCCAGGTTTGTCCAGAGTTTTCAGATAAAATTTTGAGGCCAATTGGTAATTCGGTAATAAGTTTCTGAATTATTAATGAACATATAAAACAAACAGAGATTACTACTACATGATAATTAAGAAAAGTTAATGATTCTGTTTTCCAAATCATTTGGATTTGTCATGGTTAAAAAGTAGAGTCAAGCTAAGAATGCATTATTGTAGGGTAATTTTTTAGGATTCATTTGTGACCTTTCAGACGTTTTATGGTGCATATTTGTTCAACAAGAAGTCAAATTCAATCTTTAAAATCCTCATATATATTGTTCATTTGGAGGGATGATTTTAAGAATCGGTTTTTTAAAAATTATTTAATAACGACGACAAAAAAAGTAAAAAAAATTCTACAGTTAACTAATCAGATGTTTAGAAACATATTTCTCAATAGACATTTGTCAACAAATCAATTTTAGAATCAATTACTTTTTTCCCCATTATTATATTAAATTTTTTATTCTTTACGAATTTGTTTCCAGATTTCTTAAAATTCTTAAAATGTCGTCTTTTCAATAAAAGTTCCAGGAAATCTACAGAAAACGTTTGTAAACAACTAGACACTAAAGAAACAAATAACTGAATAAGATATCTTGCTTTCAATAGGAGTTAATTTTTATTTTCTCAACCACTAATTACTTAACTTTAGAATTTTGTCACATTTGTCGTGGTCGTCTTTGAATAGTTAAAAAAAAGACTCTCAAAATGATCCCTCCAAATTGGACTATCAATGAGGATTTTAAAGATTGAATTTGCTATCTCCCTGAACAAATATTCACCGTGAAAACGTCTGATATTTGTCTCAAATGAATCTCTCTACAATATTGCATTCCCACCTCAACTACCATTCTAGCCAGACACTCCCTTTAACCCCTAACATACTTAGCTGCAAATAGTTTTGCGTGAATTGCATTGATTGTCGCAACAAATTTGTTTGTTTATGGTGACTATATTTGCTGAACAGCCCGGACACCTGTCTGCTTTTTGTTTTCAAACTAATTGAGAATTATCATACTTTTTTGCGCTTATCGTGTCAGGATAGTTTTGCTAGTTTTGATTTATCTACTAATTAAGAATTGGAAAATTGCTCAGTACAAAAACATTTTTTTTTGGATTGGAAAGGTTTTTTTTTTGATAATAAAGAATAGTTCAATGAACATAAACAAATCAATGCAAGACCCATACAACTGCAGAATAAGAAGCTTTTAGACTCAAGTTATAGATTTAAATAGTTTAATGAACATAAACAAATCAATGCAATCCCATACAACTGCAGAATAGGAAGACAGCTTTTAGACTCAAGTTATAATTTTAAATAGTCCATGAACATGAACAAATCAATTATGTTGCGTAATGCGTCCATTTCACCAAATTAAATGATTTTTAAGCAAAGAGAATAGAATGAATATATTTGAGTGGAATTTAGACAATCCCTCGGTATGAATTTTGTCAGTCCCTTTCAGCCTGAAAGGGAGTTCAAAGTGTACAAATAATGTAAATGTTCACAAAGTGTATGCAGTAGAGTACATTAATACAGTATGTTCCCTAGACTATCCATTTCAATTACAAATTTTTTAAAGCTGTTAAATAAACTTTATAAAACGAATTAGGTGAATAAAAAACATAATTTGATTTATAGTTATAACGGAAAATCATCGTTTGTAAAGTGAAAGGCATATAGTCTTTGTGAAATGATCATTGGTCAATTATGAAACCAGCCTATTTCATAATTTGGTTTTCTTTTAATATTAATTTTAGATTTTCTATAAAATGATGTTCCAGGGCCCAAAAGGTTATATAGCATAAATATGTGATTTACACCTGCAGTATGGAAACAGTACAACAAAATGGCCGTTTTACACTTTTTTCTAGTAAATTCCATTCTAATATACATTCTATTCTAATTGTTTTAAGCATGTGGTAAAACTATTTACCTTGTACCAAAATCAACATAATACAATTAAATGTCTAAAAGTCGTCTTTGTATTCCACAATTAAATGGATTTCACTGTATTTTAGGATGCATGCATTTGATGAACAAAATCTTTACTATGTATTTGAATTCATGTAATATAACAATCTAAATTCTTTTTTATTTGGGTTGAGGTCTCTCTTTAAAAAATAAATATTGTTTAATGAAAAACGTGTATGTAAAATATTTGTTATGATAAAACGAATCACGAAATCAAAAAGCATTGATTTTCATACTGCAGTATATTGGCGATTGGGTATATTTATATATATATTACATACATTTATACAAATCGATCATTTTAGTCATCTTAACATCATTAGAAAAAGATCCCGAAAAATTCATCCAAATAATAGTCAGGGGGATAAGAAATTATTTTAAAATAAAAATTAGATATATATTTTTACTTTTCTTTTTTGAAAAAAAATTACGGCCATTTCCTTTAACCCATTTTTGTATAGAAAACGCAATTAATAATACCATTATTCTATTAAAAAAAAACAAAGATTTCTTCATCATTTATGTTCTGAACAAGGTTTAATGTGTTAGCCAATTCAACCTGGGCGTGTATCACTTAAAATCAAGGTTGTATAATAAGTGGCCGAATTTAATGAATTTAAGCCGCGTCTCAAATCCCCCAAAAGCGCTGGCTCAAATCTTGAAAAATTGAATCCAATTTTAAGTGAAAATTGCCAGACTTGAGCCGCGGCTTAAATTTAAGCCTCAAATTCTTTAAATTCGGCCACAGTTTAGATATTCTGGGGGCGTTCCATGCACTCCAATGTACTAAAAATATCGTCTTCGTAGCAATGGACACTCAAACCCTCACATGACATAACTGATTATAGCCGTATGATGAAGTGGCAACGTTGCTGTTATGAGAGGGAATTTTTTTTTGCTTTTTACAGCGGACAAGCGGAGATAACCCCCCCCCCCCTCCTCTCACTTCATCTGCCGCCAAAAATAATGAGGATTTGAATGTTCATTAAAGTACATTTGAGCGCATCGTTAGTATTTAAGCTTTTTTAAAATAGATGTCATTTTAAATTTCGTTAAACTGAGTGACCGACAATGTACGGTAGTTGAACTGAGATTGCAGTTTAAAAAAATAAAATTTTAGGATTCATTTGAAACCTATCAGACGTTTTTACGGTGCATATTTGTTCACTGTTCAGCAAGAGCGATAATTCAAAATTCAAGATCCTAATTGATTGTCCACTTTTGAGGGGTGATTTTGAGAATCGGTTTTATAAAAATTGTTCAAAAGCAACGAAGAAAAATTTAACAAAATTTCTACAGTAAACTAATTAAACTCATTAGAAATTAGATGTTTAGGAACATATTTCTCATTAGAATAAATCAATGTTAGAATAAATTATTTTTTTTCATATTGATCTTTGTTCGCAGATTTCTTCAAACTCTTCAAAAATCGTCTTTTCATTAAATATTCCAGAAAATCTACAGAAAATGGTTTTGAACATGGAGACATTTCAGAAACAAATAAAAGAATAAGATTACTTAATTCTGAAGATAAAAGCTATTTTTTTATTTTCTCAACCTGTTCCTAAATAACTTATTTGTTCACTGTAGAATGTTGTTACATTTTTCGGGGTAGTCATTGAAAAATTTAAATAAAAACCATCCCTCCAAATTGGACAATCTATGAGAATTTTAATGATTGCATTTTCGCTCTTGCTGAACAAATATGCACCGTATAAAAACGTCTGATAGGTCTCAAAGGAATGCTAAAAAATTATCCATAATATAGCAATCTTAGTTCAACTATCACACATTGCCGGTCACTCCCTTTAACAGTCCCTTTAAGAAGTCTGGCTGAAACTAAAGAAATCTAGGTCCTGATAGTATAATCAATTAATCAAACAAACTATATGCCTGCAGAGACTACCCCCTAGGGAACTCAGTGAATAATAATCAACTTATGACATGTCCTCATAATTTACTTTCGTTCGTGAATAATACAATTTCTTGACAAATTCATTCAAAATGGTTTGAGGGAAGAAGAAAATACGAAAGTTAAGCTCGAGTTGTGAATCGAGTAGTACTATTTTTCAAATATTTTTTTAAAAGTTGTTAAAACAAAATTGTAATGCAAAATCAGTATTCCACTTTATTTTTGTGTCAAGCTTAGATAAGTTTATAGAATTTTAGTTTTACTATGCTTCTAGGGCGCTTTCCGCCCATCTTCTAATTCAACTTTTAATTGTGGTTCTATCTATCTATCTGTGAGTACTCAGCATCTTCTTTTTTGAAAAAATATAAAACAATAATAAAAAAGACGTGGATTTAATAATTTTTTTGCTCATTTAAACAAATTAACCAAAAATAAAAAATTTGTGACACAATTTTTTTGTTACTTTGAGCATCCATAAACCTTCTGTGGGGTCATGTGAGGTCCCACAAAAAATTTGGGTCTGATCGGTTCAGCCGTTTTTACGTTTATTGATACAAACAGACAGATAGACATAGAAACAAAGAAACAGACACCCAGACAAGCAAAGTTTATGATGTTGGATAACATCAAAATGGTGAATATTTATTGTACTTTAGAGAACAGGAAAGGGAACTTTTTGGCCCAAAACTCAGATTTTTTAAAAAGTTTGCAAAAATGGATTTTTTTCTTCTAAATCCAGTTATATAGTAAGATAATTGCAAAAAAGGTCCAACAAATGATAAAATATACATTTTTAGGGTTAAGATTAATATGATATGCATGTTTTGTATATTTAGGCCCGAACTGATTACCTGAAGCCCCTGAAGATCCGGGAAGAATACGATGAAACCTTTACTTCTGTTCTCAACCTCAAGTTTGAAATCTCCCATCATCATTTTAGAAACGGAGCTATCAAGCTGAAATGTACCTCGAGCCTTCTAACCATCTACTGGCAAAGCAGCATGGTAAGCCACCTAACCCCATTAAAGGGACTGTAATTGAATCCTAAAGAATTTGTCCACAACACTGCATACTCAGTTTAACTACCTTACATAGCCGGTCTGTCCCTTTAAATGAAAGGTCCCAACATCCCTTTAGAACAAAGGATGTTATAATTGAATTAGTTGAGATTTGAGAAGTAGTATGCATTAATTACTAGAAGAGGTGTATTTCTCGTAAAATATCAATTAATTCTTTAAAAAGTATTTTTTAAATTTTTTTGCCTACGTTGCATCCTCTGCAGGGTACCAATGGTGACCCTAAGAAAATGTCAGCCAATTTGGTCAGCTATAGTTATATATATATTCTTTTTTTTACAGTTTCAAGTGTCCAATTCATGTATTTTTATCGTTGCAGGAAATTTCAAAAGTTCAATATCATCATATAGCATTAATTTTTTAGGTGACAATAAGCATTGTTATTTATTTTTATTTCAGCAAATGCCATTTATCAGCACTTTGAAGTAAAATTGTCTCGTTCTTTGTAATTACAATTGCAGTGCAGTTTGTAACTTGGAAATATCTGAAAATTTGATTTTCAACAACAAATATTTGTTTTTTAGTTTATATTTTAAAAATCCGTTTGCAACTTTATTTAAGGTTTGATATTTGGAGCTCTATAATCCAATGATTGCTTTACTTTGATATTTAAACAAAATCTTTTCATTTCAAGTAAAATATGGAATGCATTTCCTTTCAGGAGATTTTAAGATTTCCTTTTATACTTTTAATGTAGTGGCTTTAACCAAATAGAACTTGAATAATATAAATTTAATTTATCTCCTCACAAATGCAAAACAAAGAAATTCTGAAAATAACGTTTAAAGGGACTGTTTGCGTGATTTCAAGTGACCCTTCATGCAAAGAGAGCAATTGTGGAATTTAATCTTTAAATAACCCGCTTGTATTCAGTTAATTATTCCGGCGTGGGCAACATCCATCCCGAACTAAACACAGAACACATCAGCTGAAAAACTACAGAACAGATTAAAAAGCTACACATCTAAAAACTACAATTTTGAAAAGCCCCTGAAAAACGTATGTAGAAACATGTGTCACATTTTAACATTTGTCAAAAAACTAAATTTTTTTTTACATTTTTCGGACCCTTTTTTTGATTTTTTTTCAAATCTTTCTAGCAAACAAACAAAATTTTAGAGTACGTGGTCCATTTTTTCTTCTTCTATGAGCTGGTCTTGAACTATTATGTTATAAACATGCATTTCAACACTAAGGGCTTTTTTGGGGGGGGGGGGGGGGAGGCGTACCATGCACCATAAAGGGATTTACATATAAGCAAATTGTCTAAAAAAGTTTTACACTAAGCAAAATGTTAATCCAGAAAACAAATATGGCAAAGTATCAAAAGGAAAACTTTAAGAATCTTCACAATCTCGAATGTATAAAAACAAGATAAAATTGTAATATTTGCTGGATTTTTCATTCCACATTTTTCTTTTTTTGTTACTGACAATTTTTCGCCATTTAATTGATCGTTATGGAAAAAAAGCTCTGCTAATTAGGGTTGTGCATTGTTCCCAGGGAACAAACAAACAACACAGAATGAAACAAACAATTTAAAATAAAATATGAACATGCCCAGCCCTTAGGGCTGGCCATTCTTCATGAGGAACCATAGTTCCTTCACGGAAACGAACAGAACGGAAGGAACAATTAAAAATAAAGGAAAATGCCCCGCAATACTGTTAATAAATATGGTTCGGATACCTTGTAAAAAAGCATTTTTGACTTCAAATGTGTGAACTTGAACTGTCTTATTTGAAGGTTGAGCTTCATGAAGCAAGTCCTAGACTGGGTCAGCTTGGTATTGGTAAAGACGAGACAACAACTGTTGTGACACGTGAAACCCAATCCGATAGATCAGCTGTTATTACAGCTGACACCGCCAAGATTGAAGCAAAACCGGTTATGCCAGTTGCATCCCTTTCCACCCTGGTCCTGGCTGGCTTTGGGGTTATGGAATACATAGTGATAAATACTGTACTATCAGAACTAATCCTTTCAGTGTTACTTCGCTGATCTAACGAAGGTTAATTTATTTTATGTAAGAATATATGTTACAGATTAATGATATATTTATCTTTTTGTAAAAATACATGTCATTTTAATATACCCTTTTCTATTCGTAAATTAAAGTAATTAAAATATGAACGTTTTTCAAGGATCAAACAAAAAATGTATAGCATGTGATATTTATAATATTTAATGAATTCAAATATGTCCTCAAAAGAAACTGAATTTTAGCCCCAAACTCTAATGTCCTTGCAATCCGATATTGTGACCATTTCAAATTATAAGTTCTGTTGGATTAAATAACCTAAGTTTGAAATATCAAAAGTTTACCCCGTCAGGTTGCAAAGATATATATATATATATATATATTTAAGTGTGTGGCAAAAAAACAGTTCCTTTGTGATTCATTGCAATTGCAATTGTAAATGCAGATGTTTTTGAGAAAAATGTGTACCCATTTAAAGGAAGTGTTCTCGAAAAAGGAAAGTTGGTATAGGCTGAAATGACTTCAGTTTTGCTTTAAATTTCACTTCTATCAGTTGCATATATTATATTAAGGAGAAAATGGTTCAAAACGTCTTGGAGAGTAGAACCCATATAAATTCACTCAGTTGCATGATTCTCACCAAACTGTTAAAAAGTCAATTAAATTTAAAATCATTCAGTTATTTCAATTTATAAATGTCGAATTCTATTTGGGGCATTAATATACAGTTCACATTTCATAATTTTCTTTTTTAAACAAATACTTTTCTACTTTGGAGGAGGATTATTTGGCTGTTAGGTCACGTGGATTTAACGGTTCTGTCAATATATCAGAAAACTGTGGCCTTCGATCACAATTTGAACCATTAAATATAATATTTAAGCCTATTTTTAAAATACCTTTTTGTCGGCATATTCATATCAAATGAAAAAGTATAAAATAGACAAATCCGTAAGTTTAGAGATTGTTGAATTACAGAACAAAACACGTTTGATTTCAAATAAATGAAACCGAATGCTTCTCACTCTGTTTAGTCCAGGGTAAGGTGTATATGGCTCTTGATATTTCAGTGATTTCACTTGCGAGAGACACCTAGCGGTCAACAAATTAATGTCCAATATTAATTAGGGTCCAGCCTATACCCCTTTCATTTTTCGCGAACACTTCCTTTATGGCTAGCAATTCAGACTTGCCTGATACAGAGGAAGCTTTTGTAAAGAAAATAAACGTTTGGAGGGAGATCAGTTTAACAAAAAAATATTCTATAAAAGAATTTTATTTGGACATTGATCTAAAGGTTACTAGCTCAATTCTGAAAAGTACATGTCTTAGGGTAAAAAAATATAAGTTAGTTAGATATGTAAAAATAATAGCCTAGGCGTTGTGACACTTAATCGGCCCAGTCTATAGAAAGAAATGCAAGTTTTCAAAGCTTTCTGATTCTGGATCTATGGACTTGCTCGATTGACAGATTGCCAGTTCTAGGAAAATAACAATGCACACTTTAGATTTTGAATTTAAAAAACAATGATTTTCAGTTTTTACAGTCATGAAAGTTTTATCATCAAAACATTGATTCCGCCTGAATGCCCAAAACAACAAAAACTTCAAACCATATTTCCTATTTTGTTTATCTGCTGTTTAGAATTCACATTGTGTGGTAGAAAATAAAAAGTTTCAACTTGTTAAACAAACAGTTTCTGAGGTATACAGTAGACTATAGAACTTTATCTTATCATTTGCTTGTTTTTTCTTCTCAGACTTATTTGTTTTTGTTTCTTGCTAAGTTCATCAGAATTAAACAGTTTTACAAAAAGTTTTGGGAATAAAATACTGTTTGACCCAAAGGTTATGAGTCCAATTTTTAAGAGTGCAGAATTCGAAAAATGTCATTCAATTACTAAACTTTTAGGGCGCTTCGCGTCCATCTTCTATTTCAAATGTGAACCTTTTTCTGTTTGTATATCTACATTGTAAAAAAACCTAAAAAAGTTCACGGATTCTACAAAAAAACGTGGATTTTCAAAGTTAATTAAAATAAAACTTTGTTGGAGGCACATTTTTAAAATTTTTATCATTCATAAACCTTCCCTAGGGTCATGTACGTGAGGTCCCACACACATTTTGGGCCCGATCGGTTCAGCTGCTTTTACGTTTATTGGATACAAACAGACAGACAAGCAAAGTATATATTGAAATGCACTAACACGTAGCAAGAGTTTTGAAACATGGTTAAGGCCTTTAAGAATTAAAAGTGATGTAGCAAGGAGGAGAAAATTTAATTTTTTTTTATGTAATTATATTGCTGCGAAAACTTTGCACGCTGTTGTGGATGTTCTAAATTGTAATTATATTACGTTTTAGCTGATAAATAGCTTTGAAGAAGAAGAAGAAGCAAGGATGAGTATTCGGAAATGGCTTCTTCAAAAAGTTCGGAAGAACATGGCCTAGAGGAGAAGTTCGGAAGAACATGGCCTAGACGAGAAGTTGGGAAGAACTTGGCTCGGACGAGTAGTTGGGAAGAACTTGGCTTTAAAGATAAGTTGGGAAGAACTAGGCTAGGACGAGTGTTGGGAAGAACTTGGCTTAGAGGAGAAGTTTAAAAGAACTTGGCTTGGAAGAGAAGTTTGGAAGAACTTGACTTGGACGAGAAGTTGAGAAGAACTTGGTTTGGATGAGAAGTTGGGAAGTTATACTTGGCTAGGACGAGAGGTTGGGAAGAACTTGGCTTGGACGAGAAGTTAGGGAGAACTTGGCTTGTATGAGATGTTGGAGGAGAACTTGGATTGGACGAAATGTTAGAAGGACTTGTTTCGGACAAGAAGTTGGGAAGAACTTTGCTTGGACTAGAGGTTGAGAAGAACTTGGCTCGGACGAGAAGTTTGGGGAAGGAGGTTCCGAAGAAGAATTTTGGGGACTGGCCTTTTAGTGCTCGTTCACATTTAATTAATTTATGATGTGCGTATTGGAATTTTAAACTGTAAACACAACACAAGCCAATCAAACCACTCTGGAAGCTTTCTCTGGCTTCTAGAATTTATGCTTTTAAATTCATTACATCCAACCTGAGCCAAGTTTTTATTTAAAGTTTTAAAAGATTTTATTTTACAGGTAAAAAACCATAAATTTGAGTTTTTTGTTTGTTTTGTATAAAATTGTACTGAATTTATTCTCTAACTATAATTTAGCATAAAAATGACGTTATATTTTTCCCTGGTTCTCCTGGTTTTGTGTCTTCTGGAGTAAATGGGCCTGCTGTCACCAGCATAAACCCCATCAAACCCGCTTTTTCTTTAGTTTTTCCTATCAATTCTTTACTGTGTCCAAAGATGCTGTCACCAGCATAAACCCCATCAAACCCGCTTTTTCTTTAGTTTTTCCTATCAATTCTTTACTGTGTCCAAAGAAAACTCTAAATGAGAAAAAAAACATAATTAACTGTGAAAAGAAAGGGTCGGCGTATAACAATTCTTCCTTTTAATGTTTATGGCAATTTATAATAATATCATGTTTTCAAACAACAAAAACCTTCCAAGCATAGATTAATAACAATACAGATAGAACACTAGATGTCGTCTTCTCAAGATCTAGGGTTTTTCGTTCACAACAACACAGAGGCAAAAGCTCAAAGAAGTTAAGCGTATGCTGCTTTGAATTACAAGACAGACAGAGAGAGCCTATTCTAATTCCTTTAGTGTTCTGCATCAGGGTTATTGTAACCAAAAGCCCCTAAATCTTGAAAAGACGACATCTAGTATTCTATCTGTGTTGTTATCAACCTATGCTTACAAGCAACATTTCACCATAAGACGCAATTAATTTTGATATTTTTCGGTTCTCAATGTGCTAGTCTTTTAGTGCTTTTAGATTTTTTTTTAGATAATTGCTTTTTCCAGGTAGCATTATTGTCAATTAAGAATTCTGCTAGAATTTGGATCAAATAAGTAACGTACGAAATATCAAAGGTTAATTAAATTCAACTTGCGGACATTTTAAGAATTAGAATTTGAGAGAACTAAACCGAGGTCCAGAACTTTAGTGTAAAGTATCGTTAGTCTTGAACGCTTGAACTCAACATCCAGCGTGGGCACTTTTGAATTTGAGAATAAAACCTTGATCCGTAAACTAAAGTTATGACCACCACGGGATATAGAAAAGGTCTGTTAAGTCTGCAAAATATTGAGATTGGAGATTTATAATTGTCACAAAAGCTCTGATTTCAATACTGTCATGATTTCATCACAAACTCAAATCTTTGGATCCCAATATCTTTGCAACCTGATGGTGCAAACCTTTGATATTTCAGTCTTTGATTAGTTGATCTATAAAAATTCATAGTTTAAAATATCTAAGGTCTACGACATTGTGTTACAAAGATATAGAGATAAGGAAATCAGAGTTTGTGGCAAAAACTCAATTTCTTTACCGGTAAAGTTGTGATTGTAAAGAGCTTTTCAAAAATTTATATTTAAGCAATGTAGAAGCACTGTATGGGATGATATTTAACCTAATAGTGTGTAAGAAAGGGATTGTGTTCAACTTTTTGTGACATATTCGGAGGGNGTGAAAGAGGAACTGGTAAAAGATAAAAAAGGGTAAAAAACAATAGATACTTGGTAAACAAGATTGGTGTTTCTACCTGTTCTTTGTTTACAATCTTTGTTATTGTTTTGTTAAAACTAGTTTTGTCAGTCTAAATACAGAATTACCCTCAAAGGATGAGACTTTAGAGACGACTGCACGGAATTTATTCAGTCTTTTCTCATATACTCATGATAGCTTGTTACTGTTCTTTCTAAGTAAAATCTTTTTAGGTTCCATGAAAAGAGTGTGTTCATGAGTCAAGGCAAAAAGTCGAAATTAACCTTTTAGGTAGTCTTTAAAGTCCTATTTTTTGCGGGTAACCCTGTATATCACAATCAAAAGTGTACACAAACCCTAGCTTACTTACTTTTAATAATACATCACCTTAAATTAAACTATACATTTCTAGGTTTCTGTTGCATTTTCTTATTTGTGGAAGTGAATTCTCGTTTCCTTATATTATCTAATTCCCTCAAGAAATTACCTAAACAATTCCTACTGATTACTGTCCACTGTCCATTATAAACCATTTAGAGGAATCCTTTTCCTCATGCTATGTTGTATGTTGTATGTTGTATGTTGAATGTTGTATGTTGTATGTTGTATGTTGTATGTTGTATGTTGTATGTTGTATATGTTGTATGTTGTATGTTGTATGTTGTATGTTGTATGTTGTATGTTGTATATTGTATGTTGTATTTTGGAAATTGTAAATTGTACAAAAAAATGCTGTCTCAGATATAATAACAAAACATATAATTACATAACATAACATAACATAACATAACAAAACATAAGTTAAAAAATATGCATGTAAGTTACAAAAGATATAAATTACAAAAGATAAGATTACAAAATCTATAAAAGTAGAAATTACAAACAGTTTGTTTAATTAAACATTTCATATTGAATATATTTTGGTTTAATTGGACTATTTCTTTT